ATTGAGTTATATGTTGGTATTTATGGGTATCTGTATAATGGGTGAGAGACCTTTTTTAGGTATGATTTGTGCAGGTTATTACAAATATATTCAACATTTTCAAACGTCCAGGTTAAGAGGGAAGAGGTTTATCAGGTAAACTTAACACAGATTGTCATTTTTGTCTAGTTTGTTTAAATTAAGTTTCTATTTATTTCAGTAGTTCTTTAGTAAAAACATTTGTTGCATCTGTGAAAACCTGTAAAATTTTCAAATGAACAATGAAGAAATAGACTAAAATGACTCAAGAATTCATTAGTTGTCTAACATTCGATTTCGAAAGTTCTCATAGAAATTTCAATAAAATGCCACAGTGGAAAAGCCAAAAACATCATATAAAATCAAGTATAGATCACTCTGAAAGTGTACAAATTGAAGTTATGCCAAAATAAACGGAAGGGGTGCTGAAACTACATTTTTGTAGATAATAAAAAGACTCAAAGTTGTTTTCTTCACAGGGACCTTGTTAAAACTTTAATTTGATTATTTTTTCCTTGTTAAACGTGCCATTCAATCATCTACATGAACTTTAAAGTATAATATTCAACAAACGGGGCATTTTCATATCTAATACTATTGTAACATACTCAAAACATAATACATGACGAATCTTTCAGTACTTAAAGAGCACTAGTCTAAGTCAACAAACTAATTGCTAGAAACCGCTTCGTTTGCTAGACCTAAATAAAGTAATTATGTAATTTTTATAGTAATCTTTCGCACTCCATTGAAACAGTAAAACTCTGTGAAGGCCATTTGTTATAGTTTGATCTAGCCTTGCATATAGCTTTTGGTGAAACTTGTACTTATTAAATGGCACACAAATGTTACTCGCACAGTAACAAAGCCTTAAAACTTGACCCTTCATGATGTGAAGTTATATGTTCTGAAGTATTACTTAGACTGTTGTAATTTTGCCACGAAATTTGGCAGTTTAATTGTGTATTTGGGAAAAGCCGAGTTTCTGAGCATTTTATGTAGCAAATATATTGTAGCTCCGTGGAGCAGATAGACGTAACAGTGACATTACAGCCGGTCCAACTAGTGCAACCATGTGCTATTCAGTGGCAGTTCATAGTTCGATTGTCGGTGAAAAGCAACGTTTGTGCTTTTGGAGAAGTGTATGACTTATGCTGTTTTTTTCAGGTGTGTGGTCGAATTCACCGCTCTGTTCTTTATTGACATGTTAAATACTTTGAGCCCTTGTCAGAGGGACTAGACATAAGCACACGCCCCTGCAAATGAGACTTTCTTTGCACAGTTGCTAAAACCACATGTAGACGTGTGATTAGGATTTAACGGAATAGTTCACCCAAAAATGTCTGAGCATTCACTCACCCTCAGTCCATCCAAGATGTAGTTGAGTTTGTTTATGATTTGGAGATATTTAGCATTTCATCACTTGTTCAACATTGGATCCTCTGCAGTGAATGGGTGCCGTCAGAATGAGAATCCAAACAGCTGATGAAAACATCACAATAATCCACAAGTAATCCACACCACTCCAGTCCATCAGTTAATGTCTGGTGAAGTGAAAAGCTGCGTGTTTGTAAGAAACTAATCCACCAGTCCATTTAAGGTGTTTTAAATTCAAACGGTCACTTCTGGCCAAAATCCATAACGTTTAGCATAATTTTTTAATAATCCATTAAAAAAAACCATGTCTTTTCACATCAAAATCCACCAAAATAATTAGTTTAGAACTATTTTGAACCGTTTTGGTTTGTAAACAGTGCTTGATCTGTGCAGATTTCTCTCATGATTCAGACGAGACTGGAGAAAGCAATATTATGGATAGAGGACTTGTATATTGGCCTGAAGCAACAGTTTGAAGTTGAAAAAATCTTGATGGTTTAGTTTCTTACAAACACACAGCTTTTCTCTTCACAAGACATTAACTGATGGACTGGAGTGGTGTGGATTACTTGTGGATTATTGTGATGTTTTTATCAGCTGTTTGGACTCTCATTCTGACGGCACCCATTCACTGCAGAGCATCCATTGGTGAGCAAGTGATGCAATGCTACATTTCTCCAAATCTGTTCTGATTAAGAAACAAACTCAACTACATCTTGAAATTTTCAGGAAATTCTCATGCTTGGGAGAACTATTCCTTTAAAACCGAGATTGGAAATAACGAGATTGGGCCCATAATTTGATTAAAAAACTGAATTCGCACCATTGCTTGAAGAAAAATTGCTGCCAAAAGCCGATGTAAATCCACGTCGGGCTGAATGTCATGTGATACATGAATGTATATACAACTATGTTGCTGTGGAGTACACATGTATATTAACACAGAAATGTCTGTTGTCACAGAAAAAAAAAGTTTATTTGAAAAATAAAGATATATCCTACTGATTCCTCATAATTAATGAAAAACAAACTGTCCGGGGTTTTTTTCCATGAATGTCTTAAAATCCATCATAACGAATGTAAATCACCCCCCAAAACACAAGAACAACTTAAAAAACAAACCCATCAGGGTTGATCAGTTTACAAATGATATGTGAATGCTTTTCAATTTAAAACAAAACTAAGCAATTATTATTAACAGCAATGTAAACCAGAACAATTGAAAAAAAAATTTTCCAACATATTTGCAGTAGTTAGTAGGTAAGAATTACTGGCCATGATTTTTAATAGACTAATATTTTCAATAAAACATTTGACAGTCATTAATATGAATAGCTACAGCTAAGCCGTACGAAAACAAACACTTTCAAAATGGTGGCATCCTTCATACTGTAAACCAAATGTAGTGACTTTAGTCATCTAGACATATATTAGTCTGATTGTGTGATTTTGCGTGTCAACAACCACCAAACGTTTGGCAAGACTATTTCGCGCTAAATGCCGAGCAACTCGTATTTCAGCTATTAAACTACTATTTCGGCTTTTAGCTAGTTAGCATTTCACCTCCAGCGCTTGCTATTTCATAAAGGAAAACCAACCAGACAGTTCTAGTAACCATCAGAAGGCACCTCATGAAACAAGATGAAACAATAGCTTGCATACAAACGTACAGATCTCGACAAGAGCGGAAACGCAAACGTAAAACTATTGTATAAGTTAGAGTGGAAAACTAGAAGAGACCCATCTATATTTACAAATGTGCAAATGTGTACAGAAATCATACACTGGATAAAAACATCAAATGAGGATTTGCTGGCTTTTGAAATTAAACTGTGTTCACAATGTTTGTCCAGAGTATTGACAATAAAGGAAATTATGATATGTTATGCTGTACTATTTTTATATAACATTCAGTCAAATTTTGCAGCAAAAACTACGTTTTATGTATTTTTTAATTATTAATTTTTTTTTTTTTTACTTCCTTTTGTAGTTAAGTATTCAGTTATTTTTTATTGAATCTTTGTAGTTAAAGAATTACAAATAATTTAATTAAAGGGATAAAATTATGCCATCATTTACTAAACCTCAAGTCGTTCCAATCCTGTTTGAGTTTCCTTCTTTTGTTGAACACAAAAGATATTTTGAAGAACGTTTGTAACCAAACTGTTGACGGTAGCCATTGACTTGCATGGTTTGGAAAAAAAATACTATGGAAGTCAATGGGTACCGTCAACTGTACGGTTACCAAAATTCTTCAAAATATCTTCTTCTGTGTTCAACAAAAGAGAGAAACATACAGAAACACATCCCTTTAAGGATCAACTTAATAAAACTAAATTTAGTTCTGCCGCTCATATTTTTTTTTCCAGACAGTACTCTGGACAAACATATGCACATATACTTAAATTAGTCTGATAAATAATATTTCCCTTTTATATTTAGAATTTTCTCTTCTATAAATAGTCACATAAAGGTCAACAGGCAGAGATAAAGGTCTGTATACAAAATAAATTAAAAAACAAACTTTAAAACAATTGTACAGTGTTGTAATATCTGATGTCAAATCTTCGCTATAGTGCAGTTTCATTCCAAAACACAAATAACTCTAAATAATTCTAATTTTGACGTTTTTCGATAATAAGCAGGCAAATTCAAGAATATCACGCAAAATAAAAATGAAACAAAAAGCCAAGGCCAATCTGTGTTTTTAACACAAAATAAAAAAAAATTTTTTTATCCTAGTAATGTACGCTTTGTTTTTATACAGATATATATTTATTTTTTTATACAAATAAAGATAAAATTTTACAGAAATATCTGTGATCGTTTTGGTATTTACCTTATCCACATACAGATCATCTGAAACCCGTGATATAATATTCATTCAGGTAAGCTCGGCCACTTTTTGCCAATTAACGCGAAAGCAAAATAATTTAGTTGAATTCAGTCTACTAGTTTAACGGTTAGTTTGGTCAATTGGCTTGCGTTCTACTTCATACTGGCTGGTTTGCGACGTGTGTATTTCACTAATAAATCCCACCTGGCAGTTGACTGGTGCAGTACTGCAATATTTAACGTGGATTGTGACCAACACTGAAAATTCCCAGTGTTAGCATGTGCTGTTAACAAGTAAACTACCATGCAGAATAAAGCGGACCGTGTGTTTACGTTTCAGCGCCTGCTATTTACACGTGAGCACGTCATTTCACGGAGCCAGTACATGGAAAGTCCAGTTACAGTGTAAAACGGGGGAAATTTCTCCATTTCCCCAATAACAAGCGCACTCGCACACACAAATAAACACGCACTCGGTAGGTTTGAGTCTTCAAAATGGTCAAAGATGCTTTTCAGAGTCAGTCGTCAGACTTGGTCCAATGATGAAAGTCACCTTACAGAGAGAAGAAAAAAAACAAACAAATAAACAAAAACAGTAGAATGAAGAACTGGGCTAATAAAAGTCACTACAGTGTTTCCTCCATGCCAGCAGGGGGCAGTGTACAGTTCTGATTCCCTGCAATCCGCTTCAAGTATGTCAGCCTGAAACTAGTTCAAGTTTGTGCAAAAACAAAAAAAATCTAGCAAAATAAATAATTTTCTTCTCTTTCCATCCTTCGTTTTTGTTTTTTTCCGGCCGAATGCCGAGAGCTGCCGCACTCCAGCGTTTCCATTCCTTTTTTTTTTGTGAGTTTATGGGAATAAAACAAGAGTTGAATTCCTCTGAATTCTTTAATCGAATCACCGCACATTACAACACTGGCTCTGTCAGCATTGCGCTATGTAATAGTCCGGTCCCGTCCAGTACGGCGGGGGATGAACCGCCAGTTTGGTCGTTTGGGGTTGCTGAAGTGTGTGTGGTGTGCGCGTGTGTGTTATAAGCAGTCCTTGCACAGCGCCACCTGTCCTTTCATGTAGTCTCTGCAGGGACAGATGCGCGTGAGCGACTGATGGGCCCCGGCGCAGCTGAACAGCAGCAGGTCCGACTGGAACACGCAATGCCGAACCGATTCGCTGAAGGCGGGGACGACGATATCGCTGGTGGACTCCACCGTCTTACACTCCACACCATACCTGCAGTGAAGAAACCAAAGAGAGAATGCTTGAGGACATGACATGAGATCACCAAAAATCATGGTCATATGTGAACCTGGAGCACAAAACCAGTCTTAAGTCGCTGGGGTATATCTGTAGCAATAGCCAAAAATACATCGCATGAAGTTCACGGATAAAATTAATTGGATTATTTTTTAATAATTAGATCCATGGTCAAGTTGTTTACAAAAATAGTCAAAATCTGATGCAAATTTTGGGTAATTTAAGTCAAATCCCACCACACCTCAGCAGGAGCGAGTAAACAGACAGAGAATTTGAATGCTAAAGGAGAAATAAAGGGCCTGTGAAGTGCAGCACTGCCCTCTGTTGTCTGGATGGAGAACTGCAGCGTTTGTACCTGAACAGATCCTTGTCTTTATTGAGATGCTGGAAGAAAGAGGGTTCACAGATCAGCTGCTGTTCCTGACACACCTGCTTGCAGGATTTACCTGCCGGAGCCAATTTGACCTGCATGGCGCTGAGAGGAGGCCACATCACCTGACCATGACAGAAATCCTACACACACACACACACACACACACACACACACACACAGGGGTGTTTCTTTACAGATCAAGCATGTATTCTTTGCATGACAGGTACAGGTATGTCAGGTCTGATTATCGTGTGTTAACAGGTGAAGTGGAACGAATCACACACACCTTAAATGTCCACAACACACAGTCAAAGGTACCTGGTTCTTGATGAAAGCGTTGACGCGCTGCAACATCCCCTCACAGGTGAACTCATACGGCAGATACGGCTCGATCTGAAACAAAACACCAAGAAAACATCACACGTCACATGACACTGCTTATAAGTGTGTATGTGCTTCACTATAGTTTGCTCCCTGAAGTGAGCTGAATATGGCAAAACCGGCAGGTTTTCATTCTGGACCTCCTTAATGATACAGATGATTAATAAACAACGTCAATTATGTTTAGTAAATGTATATCTATGGTTTGGGCTAATCTGTAATAATTATATTTATATAAAAACAGCACAAGACTTCAGTATGTCCTCGTTTATGTAGCATAGCTAAACGTGTGTCTAGATTTGTTACACTTAAAGCCATACATAAAGGACAAATTTACTGAAAAATATCCACAAAATGGACCAAAACGCCTTTAAAGGAAGTGCTCAGTGAGAAAATGGCTCATAAATATATATATATATATATATATATTTTTTTTTTTTTTAACTATAAAAATACAAAATAGGGCTTGCATTAGTCTGAAGCAGTCTGTAGCCTGAAGTAACCATAAATATTTTTATTTGAAAAAACAAGTAACAACAAATAAAATAAATATTTAAAATATAATTTAATATTCCTAAAATAAAAATATTTTTTTATAAGAAATTGTATACTATATTTCTATTCCTTATTTAAAATGTGTTGTTATTATTATTATTACTACTACTATTAATATTAATAATATTGAATTATTAATAAAACAATTTTAATATAGTGATATTATATTTATCATATTTATTCCTTCTATTTATAATAAACATTATTATTTCTGTATACGATAATATATTAAATATTATGTAAAATAACAAAAAGAATTCACTTTCACTTCTGAGGGCTTGAATGTGAAATTTATTTGATTTATTAGATTCTTTATTTTTAATAATGTAATTTTAGCCAAAGCCTATATTAAACAATAATAATAATTATTATTATTATTGTTAATTGATCATGTAAAACTAAATAATAATATGCTGACATGACATTTATATTCCTTTTTATAATATTCTGCAAAATAAGATTAACAAAGAATTCACTTTTGAGGTCTGAAATATGTAATTTATGTGATGTTTAATGTCAATTTAGCCTATGATGTATATCACAAATTTATTAGTCAGAGCCCAGACTGAAAATCTGTGGAAGGACTTGAAGCCTGCAGTCCACAAACGCTCACCATCAAATTGATCTGAACTTATCATCTTAAAGCAAAAGCTGGTTCAACAAAATACTGACACAAGGGTGTCCTTTTTCCAACTCGGTGATTGTTTATTAATTTTTTTCTGACATATTGCTATTATATCTTTCTCTTGGATGTTATAAGCTGCACTGAGTGAATATAGCTGGATAAAACAAAAACTGTGTCCGTCTTCATTTCAGGCTGCAGAGCAACAACATGAGATTATTTTAAAATGGGGTGATTCTTTTCTATACCCACTGTATTTATATATTAAAATGACCTGTGAGGAGATTCTCTGCTGAATGCTGGATTTTGTTATGAATTAGGTCTAATTTGTGACATTTTATGCTTTTTAGTCTTCAGAAATAATCAGGAAGTGCATGTGTGTGTGTGTGTGTACCTTCTGACTGAGGATGGCTTTAATGGCGTTCTCCACCTCTGCTGGATCATCTATGTTGACGGTCCAGACATGTGGACGTCCGATGTAAACCTCAGCATAAGGGTGCTGGGAGGTCAGCTGGGGTCAAAGGTCAAACACACATCAGAGACAACTGATTCTGACCACAATAAAACCTCAGCAACATAACAATAACCAAACATAAATGAAGTACCTCTCTGAGTGTGGGTTTGCCCTTGAAGAAATCCGTGTTTTTGCTGCTTTTAGGCGGGTCGAACCTTGGGTTGAGGAAAGCGCAGCCATTGGCTATGGCCTCCAGAGGGGCGGGACCCTCGTACGGGAAGGACAGTCCGACAAAAAGCTGCACAACAAACAGAGAATTGCAATCTTGTCATTTGATCCTTGTATGTATAACAAAACATTATCATATTATATCAAATATTACATAAATTACATCAACATAAAATTCACTTATATTAACATACAATTTATTATTCATAATAAAACACTAAATATTAATTTACTGATACTGCATTTAAATTCGGTGTTCACTTTTATTTCTGAGGTTTTGTGACATTTAACGTAATTTAGCCCAATTTATTATTCATGATGCAAAACAAAATAATATATTGATACTGAATTTACATTCTGTAACAAACCATTTATTTTCACTTCCGAGAAATTAAACGTAATTTATGTGATGTTTAGTATGTTAATTTTGCCCAAACCTATACTGAATTATATCAATAATAATATTAGAAATGGCCTGATTTCCATTTCTAAATCTCATCTCAGTGTGTTTTTCAATGGATAGATGTATTTTGTGGATTCCTAAAATGGAAATGAGGGATTTCTGGGACATTTTAAACAAGCTGACAGTGGGAAACGTCAAACAAACGATGCATTGATGGAAACCTGGCGGATGATTCCCAGAGCCCAAGCAGATTTACCTGCAATAACCTCACATTTGCACAGCTGCACTCTACAAAAGCAATCACAACCTCAAACCGCCGGCTCTAATGACAATCAACAGTGAGAAGGAGTGTAATAATCACAGTAAAAGCCCCCGTCTTCTCCCTGACACACAGACCCCGTCTCCAGACGTTGAGCTAGATGACTTAAAGGGGTCATATGAAGCTGCTAAAAAGAACATTATTTTGTGCATTTGGTGTAATGAAATGTGTTTATGCGGTTTAAAGTTAAAAAAACGCATTATTTTCCACATATTGTACATTATTGTTTCTCCTCTATGCCCCGCCTTTTTGAAACGCATCGATTTTTAC